TGGCCCGTTCAGATGGTGTGTTCACAGGAAATGCCCGTTGGTGGTATTGGAGGTTGGGATACTGGGATGAGTTGGAGAAAGGAAGATTGGAGGACAAGGTGTTTGTGATCAATTTGGGCTGGGGTCAGAGAGGAAAGGCAGACAACAGCAGCTTTCCAGCAACAGAGCTGGGGATCACACTGGAGGGTTAGCTCTCAGAAATAATAGGAGAGGTGAGAGTGAGTGTGCCTTCAACTACTTGTTGCCATGAGAGGATCAGCCCTTGGGTTAGCAGGAGGTGCCTGCTGGAGTTGCTGAGACAACACAACATTTTAGGGGAAGGGGCAGGGATGATCTGTGGAAACCATAAGAGATGTGGGCAGGGGGATGGAAGGCTGTAGCTGGTGATTCATTGCAACTCTAGAGATGAGAGTGGGGGGATTGGATGTGAGGGGACAGAGCGTCATACCTTTTTATTAGTGTCTTGTTTGCCAGGGACCTTATTCTAGCTTTGCTTTCACTAGTTCCAGAAAAGTGGTTCTTCCCTGATGAGAAAAATTGCCTTGTGTAGTGATATTTTGTTGTAAGAAAATTTGCCTGAAGATCAGAGGACAGAACCAGCCAGTAGATTAAACATAGAGGTCAGGTAGTGGTGGCATGCACCTTTAATGCTAGCACTCTGGAGGCAGAGATCTGTCTGGAGCTCTGTGAGTTCAAAGCCACCCTGGACTACAGGAGAATAATCCAGTCTGAAAGAAACAGAGCCAGGCAGTGGTGGCACACACCTTTAATCCCAGCACTTGAGATCTCATGCCTTTGCTACCTTTATTTGGGAAGCACACATGCCATTAATCCCAGCACTAGAAAGGTTGAGACAGGAAATGATATGGCGGGGTGGAAAAAGGAACTGAGGCACTTTCGGCTGAGGACTTAGAGGAATTCAGTCAGAGGATTCCTGGAGTTGGCCAGGTGAGAAGTGGCTGTGACTTGTTCCTTTGTCTCTCTGAACTTTCAGCATTTACCTCAATATCTGGCTCCAAGTTTTTATTAAGACCAATTAGGATTTGTGCAACAGCCTGGTGTAGTTCAGTTTTCAAAATTTCACATTTCTTTTTTTTATTTCATCCATTTGACATACTAGTTCTTCAGCTTGTGAGAACCAAGCCAAATTCCTTTCTGTAAGCCATTCAGTAATTGTATTCACAATAACATATATTATTAACCCTTATAATAGTTGCCTAAATATTTGTGATGGAAGAAAAAAATTAAAAGAGTAGAAGTATCTGGTGTCCAATTAATTTTAGCAGTGGACTGATGAAAGAGTAAGATTCAGCCTTCCAATTCAAAGAACCTGAAAGATATTGAAAAGATTGGGACAGAGAAAGAAGCAAAGAAAATTCCAAGAGTGTTTGGGCAATGATAAATCAAAGAAAGAAAGAGAGAAAAGGAAGGGAGGAAGGAAGGAAGGAAGGAAGAAAGAAAGAAAGAAGTAAGCAAGGGTGTAAATACAACTGTTTAATGCAGAGATGAAATATACTAAAGGGCTTAATTTATATTATTTTATAAAACATATTGATGTCTTGTCATGTAAATATTTCATACTAGATATTAGGTTTAGACAGTAACTGAAATGAAACATAATTTTAATCTATAAATTTTCTTGTTTGTTGGGTGAAGAAGATATTAATCCAATAACTTAATGTTTTTCTTATATGCAGTATGTACTATAAGAGAGACCAAAAGTAATGCAGATCCTCTCACACAGTTAAGGAAAGTTTTTTTGGAAGAAAATGATGGTTTAATTGACATCTCCAAAATGAGTAGAGCCAACAATAAAAGGCTATGGGTGATGACAAAACCAGCCCTTTGTAAATTATTGGAAGAATACACAGTTTGCATGAAGTTACAAAGTCATATATTTTGGATGTGGAGAAGATGCTGCAAAAGAGGGACAATACTAGAAAGGCCACTGTGTTTTGATTACTGCACATATATCAAATCCTCACACTCTATGCTATGCATTTCATTAGCTTAAATAATAATTACTTAAAATATTAAATTTATGAAAAATACAGGCTTTCTTGAAAGAAGGTTCTTAACATAAAATCGAGAAAAGGCAAAGCCAAGAAAATAAGGGAAACTTGAATTCTCTTGTTCATTATAGCCGCAGGAAACATTATGCATACTCAAACCCTTATCTACACTAATGAGTTTTCAAAAAATAAAAGCCTTATAAAGCACATTTCTTCATAAGTTATTTGAAAACTTCAACAAAAGGCCTGAAAGACAATAAAGTACAGTATAAAAGAAAACGATCAATCATCAGGACAAATTCATATATGATACACATGATAGAACTATCAGAGAACATAAAATACCTATTGTATAAGTATGTTCAGATTCAAGGGTTTATATTTGATAAAGAATAGATGAGTCAATTGGCAGGACAGCTAAGCTTCCATAGAATATTAAAGAAAATGTAATAAATAAAAAGTAAATAAAAATGAACAATTAATGTATTCATTTTAAGAAAATTGACACAGCTTCTAAACTTAAATGCAAAAAGAAAAAGAATGAAATTCAGAACAATAACCCAATATCTGTAAGAAACTTTTATAACAAAACTCAGCAGCAACAGGGAACTCACATAATATCAGTATAAGAAGCAAAGTAGGAAGTAGGAAGGAAGGAAGGAAGGAGGGAAAGAAGGAGGGAAGGGAGGAAGGAAGGTAGTCAGCCTTGTTCTATCAGTACACACATGGACCCATTACCAGAAGGTTAAGAAGTTTGTCTGAACACCGAGGACCTTTACCACTAAATGACCTAGATATTTGCAATTCAGTTTCTTCTATGAACACCTATACTTCAGAAACTGGTTCTGTGACCACTGTGCACGGTGTATGAAGAAACACTTTACTGCCACAGTGAGTGTGTCTGCAAGTTACACTGTGCTGAAAACTTCTCTGAGAAGCCCCCACTGTCTTAGACCAGTGAATACAGCATAATCCATTGCTATAATAAATATCCTGTCTTGATTGCTGAAAATCCCTACAACATCCAAGAGTGTTAGATTTGGTTGTAAAAGCTGTTTGAAAACCACATGACAGCATTTGAGTGCCCAGAGTCAGAAACACTAAAATCTGTATAGCCTGTGCTCTTGAATCCACTATGTAAGTTAGACCTTCCCAAATCATGCAAGTCCTTGAAGTCAAGTAGGTGACTGGGACAAAAGCACAATTTCTCTCCAAACCTACCAGAAGCATAAAACTAAAGAAATATATGTACCAAAACCTAGGCCCCAATGGATCCATCTATAAAACACTTCTGCACCTAAGGCTCAGAGAACATTAGAGAAGAGGTGAGCAGACAGATTATAAGAGCTAGAATATTAGGGAGTTTGTTGTGAGATTGTGTCTCCTAGTAACATCAAAAACTACATCCATAAGGTCTCATTAACATGACTATCCAAACCTGATCTGAACCAGGATGATACCTATGGACATGCTAAACTGGATAGGGAAAAGCTCACAAGGCCTCAGCAACTATAAACAACTGAGGAAACTCAGAGAGGAAAAGGTGATCTTTCCAAGAGAAGAGCAGATTGGTTGTCGATTGCTGTCAGCCCTGAAAACATACACACAAGTAACATTACATGGACTCAACAGGCCTATGTTTCAGGATGTATATACATATATATATATATATATATATATATATATATATATATATATATATATATATATATATATATTCATTCATTAAGAATTAATGGAAAAAGAGGTCATGAATTTGAAGGATAGCTGCGATGATGACATGGGAGAGCTTGGAGGGAGGAAAGGGAAGGGAGCACTGTTTTTTGTTTGTTTGCTTGTTTGTTTGTTTTTGTTTTTTGTTTTTTGTTTTTCGAGACAGGGATTCTCTTTGTAGCTTTGGAGCCTGTCCTGGATCTCACTCTGTAGAACAGGCTGGCCTTGAACTGACAGAGATCTGCCTGCCTCTGCCTCTTTTGAGTGATAGAATTAAAGGCGAGCACCACCATCGCTGGCAGGGAGCACCATTTTAATTAAATACATAGTGTAACAAAAATGACTCTTCTATAACTGACAACAAGGAAACAGAAATCTACAGATTCTGTGAAAATTTCTTTCCCAAAAAACTCCTCAGAACAATACCAAGGCAACACAGAGGCACAATTAAAATATAATAGGTACAATACTGCATGTACACAACTGAAATTTTAGCAGAGATATACCAAACAAGGCCAGAATTTCCCAAATGAAACATCAGCTCAGGTCTACAGGTGAAATGAGGTGACAGGATAAGACATTTGAATTTGAATGTTAAAATTTATTTTATTTTAAATATAATTCCATCAATTTCCACTTGCCTTTCCTTCCTCCAGCCCCTCCCAAGTTTCCTCCTTCCAACACCTTCCTTATTCTCCTCATTCTAAAATTGATAGCCTCTTGTTTGCTCAGTATTGTTTCACACACACACTAATATATAAAATCACTGTGCTGTGTCTGTTTTCATTGTTTGTGTCTATCTGATTTCAGGGCTGACCACTTTGTGTTGGACAACTAATAAGGAAATTCTTCCCCAGGGAGGAGCTTACTCTCCTCTCAGCAGTTATCAATTGCCTGCAGTTCTTTATCCCAGGGTATGACAAAAAATTTCAAAGAGGTTATACAGAGAAAACAAACTGAATATATCTCAGAATCAAGATAAAAATACAATTAAAAGAAAAAGTATTAAAAGAAATTGTAAAATAATATGAAAATTTATATGCTTTAGGTTTAATTGCTCTAGTAGTAGTTTGTTCAGAATAAGAATACCTGCAGTCACTTAAATATGTGTAAGTGAAAGAAAAAGATAATTGTATTATAAAATATACTATTCAGCAACTGCTAGGATAGAATGTGAAATGATACTTAGCTTATGTATAAATTGTAATTGTAAACACGAGAAAGCAATAATAAAAATTAGAAGTATAAATAATACTTAAGAAATAAGAGATATACTTGCTTCAGCAACACATATACTAAGATTGGAATGTTTCACACAAAGTCAGCATGGCCCCTGTGGAAGGATGACATGACAATTTGTGAAGCGTTCCATATATTTATAGGCAAGCACCTCACCTGAGAAGCACACTAGAGCTGACTCTGTGGTCGGGGACAAAGGTGAGCCATGCCTGAGGGCATGAGAGCAGGAGAGTTGACCTCATCGCCCCCTTGTGTGCCATGTGGTGGCATGGGTGAGGGAAAGATGCCCTCCCCACCCACCCATTACCACCTGTGGAAGTTGAGAGAGCTGGCCCTGTGGTCACGAGAGTGGGAGAGCTAGCCCTGACCCTCACCAACTGCAGTGCATGAGAAAGCAGCCTCTGCTTCCCATCTGGGCAGCACAGTAGAGCTGACTCTGTTGTCTGGGGCACAGGTGAGTCAACCCTGAGGGCATAAGAGGAGAATTGACCCCCCCATTTCATAGGCACCCTATTGCACCCAATGGTAATTGGGAGAGAGAGATCCCTGCAACTTGCCTGGGCAAAACAGTAGAGCTGGCCCTGGTGATATGAGTGAGGGGGACCCAGATCTGAGGAACTGAGAGCAGGAGAACTGACATGGTTCCTTGCTCTAGATTGCATTTGGTAAGTTAGCTGAGGCAGTACTGGAAAGCTCATCAGGGTACTGATGATGAGGGAAAGCTAGAGAGCTAACCAACCCAGGTATCACCCAGTCCCAGAACCAGATCGATGAGTTGGCCCACTACAACATCTATCAAATCTATGAAGTGTTGGAGCATGTGAAGGGGACTAATCTACAAATCCAAAACAGCAGGATCTCCATGACATGGAACAACAACAGGATATCCACGAGGATTCCCAATGAGAGTGTAGTAGAAACCAGAGGCTTCGAAGCTGACTCATAGCAATGAACACTTGCAATTAAAGATGTATGGACTAAGGGGTAAAGTCTGTGATGAGGCCACACTTCAACTTCCAAGACAAGAATCTTCTTCCTTTGTTTTTATTTATTTATTTGGTTCTTTGTTTTGTTTGGTTTTTGGTTTTCCTTTTAACTCCATTTTATTTTATTTTATTTTACAATACAATTCAGTTCTACATATCAGCCACGGATTCCCTTGTTCTCCCCCCTCCGGCCCCCCTCACCTTCCCCCCAGTCCACCCCCCATTCCCACCTCTTCCAGGGCAAAGCCTCCCCCGAGGACTGAGATCAACCTAGTAGACTCAGTCCAGGCAGGTCCAGTCTCCTCCTCCCAGGCCAAGCCATGCGACCCTGCATAAGCCCCAGGTTTCAAACAGTCAACTCATGCAATGAGCACAGGACCCGGTCCCACTGCCTGGATGCCTCCCAAACAGATCAAGGCAATCAACTGTCTCACCTATTCAAAGGGCCTGATCCAGTTGGGGGCCCCTCAGCCATTGGTTCATAGTTCATGTGTTTCCATTCGTTTGGCTATTTGTCCCTATTTGTCCCCGTGCTTTATCCAACCTTGGTCTCAACAATTCTAGGTTTTGTTTTGACGGGAAGTTGCAAAGACAGAGTTTGGATGGGAGAGGACAGGGACATCAGTGGGATCAGAATGCATGATGTAAAATCCGCAAAGAACTAATACAAGTAAAAAAAGAAATAAGACAATTGAATCATGTTGAATGCCCAGTGAAAAACATAAAAGAACAAAAAATGGAAAGTTGAGAATAAGAATAAAAAACAGTTAAAAACAGAAAGCAGCAGCAGTTGCATATATGAAAGCAACTACATAATTCAACACTGTAAATATTGATATAAGATTATAAGTTCATCATTCTGTAATAACTGAATGCAGGTAACAGACATGAGTTTTGAAAGAGATTTTAAAGCTAATTGTTTTGCTAGTTCCAAATTTTTCTTTGTTAAAAATATTTTTATTTTATAATTAATTTATTTTTACATATCAGCCACGGATTCCCCTGTCCTCCCTCCTCCCACCTCTCAGCCTTCCCTCCCCCAAATCCACCCCCCATTCCCACCTCCTTCAAGGCAAGATCAGCCTGGGGAGTCAGCCCAGCCTGGTAAATTCAGCTGAGGCAGGTCCAGTCCCCTCCTCTCTACACTAAGGCTGAGCAAAGTGTCTCAACATAGGCCCTAGGTTCCAAAAAGCTAGCTCATGCACCAAGGACAGGTCCCGGCTCCACTGCCTGGGGGCCTCTTAAACAGTTCAAGCTAATCAACTGTCTCACTTATCCAGAGGGCAGGGTCCAGTTCCATGGGGGCTCCTCAGCTATTGGTTCACAGTTCGTGTGTTTCCACTAGTTTGGCTATTTGTCCCTGTGCTTTTTCCAATCATGATCTCTGTAGTGGGCAGCCATTCCAGCTTTGATCTGGAAGTTCCAAGCCCCATTGAGACTTCGGCAACTGTCACGCCTACAAGACGGGGCAAAGGGAGGCGCCTGGAGACCTGAGATCTGGATGGGCGGCGCACTCACTCAGTTCCGGGACCTTAGATGGTGAAGGTGGGCCAAGGAGAGCTCCAGAGAACACCGCTGGACTGCAATACACCTTCCCCAGACCCCGCGACCTAAATATCCCTTAACTTATAAGTTAAGCCATTAAATAAATCTCCTTTTAACTACGTGGAGTGGCCTTAATAATTTACCAATAGATCTCAATATCTCTTGCTCATGTAATCCCTTCTCTCTCTCACCAATTGGACTCCTGGAGCTCCACCTGGGGCTTGGCCGTGTATCTCTGCATCTGCTTCCATCAGTCATTGGATGAGAGTTCTATCATGACAGGGTGTTTGGCCATCAGATCACCAGAGTAGGTCAGCTCAGGCATTCTCTCGACCATTGCTAGTAGTCTATAGTGGAGGTATCTTCGTGGATTTCTGGGGACCTCTCTAGCACTCTGCTTCTTCCTATTCCCATGGGGTCTTCATTTATCATGGTATCTCTTTCCTTCTTCTCCCACTCTGTTCCTGATCCAGCTGGGACCTCCCACTCCCCTAAGCTTTCTTTTCCCTGACCCTTGCCTTCCATTACCCTTCCACCCCCAGTTTTCTCATGTAGATCTCATCCATTTCTCTGTCGTTGGGCAATCCCTGCCTCTTTCTTAAGGTCCTCTTTACTAGGTAGCCTCCTTGGAGTTGTGAGTTGCAGTCTGGTTATCTTTTGCTTTATATCTAGTATCCACTTACAAGTGAGTCCATACCATGTTTGTCTTTCTGAGTCTGGGTTACCTCACTCAGGATGATTTTTTTCTAGTTCCATCCATTTTCCTGCAAACCTCATGATGTCATTGTTTTTCTCTGCTGAGTAGTACTCCATTGTGTATATGTACCACATTTTATTTATCCATTCTTCAGTTGAAGGGCATCTAGGTTGTTTCCAGGTTCTGGCTATTACAAATAATGCTGCTATGACCATAGTTGAACATGTGTCCTTGTGGTATGATTGAGCATTCCTTGGGAATGTGCCCAAGAGTGGTATAGCTGGATATTGATTCCAAATTTTCTAAGAAAGCAACATACTGATTTCCAGAGTGGCTGTACAAATTTGCATTCCCACCAACAGTGGAGGAGTATTCCCCTTGCTCCACATCCTCTCCAACATAAGCTGTCTTCAGTGTATTTGATCTTACCCATTCTGACAGGTGTAAGATGGTATCTCAGAGTTGTTTTGATTTGCATTTCCCTGATGACTAAGGATGTTAAACAATTCCTTAAATGTCTTTCAGTCATTTGAGATTCTTTTCTTGAGAATTCTCTGTTTAGTTCTATAGCCCATTTCTTAATTGAACTGTTGGGCATTTTGATGTCTAATTTCTTGAGTTCTTTATATATTCTGGATATCAGCCCTCTGTCAGAAGTGGGGTTGGTGAAGATCTTTTCCTATTCTGTAGGCTGTTGTTTTGACTTGTTGACCATGCCCTTTGCCCTACAAAAGCTTCTCAGTTTCAAGAGGTCCCATTTATTAATTGTTGCTCTCAGTGTCTGTGTTACTGGTGTTTTATTTAGGAAGTGATCTCTGGTGCCAATGCATTCAAGACTACTTCCTACTTTCTCTTTTATCAGGTTCAGAGTAACTGGATTTATGTTGAAGTCTTTGATCCACTTGAACTTAAGTTTTGTGCACAGTGACAGATATGAATCTATTTGCAGTCTTCTACATGTTGACATCAGTTATGCCAGCACCATTTGTTGAAGATGAAGTCTGTCCGTGCAGAGATGACTGGCCACACTAGTGGAAACCCATGAACTGTGGACTGGTGGCTATGGAGCCCCCATGGGACTGGACTAGGCCCTCTGGAGATGAAAGATGGTTGTTTGTCTTGAACTGTTTGGAGGGCACCCAGGCAGGGGGATTGGGATATGTCCCTGGTGCATGGGCAGGCTTCTGGGAAGCTGGTGCCTGTGGTGTGACACCTTGCACAGCCTTGGTGCAGTGAGAAGGGGCTTGGACTTGCCTAGGCTCAGTGTGCTGGGCTCTGCTGACTCCCCATGGGAGACCTCGATTTGCAAGATGTGGGGAGGCAGGTGGCTTGGGAAATAGGCCTGAGGGGGTGGGAGGAGGGAGGATGGGGGTCTGTGAATAGCATGAGGAGTGAGTAGAAAATTTCTTAATAAAGAAAAAAAACAAAAAAAGATGAAGTCTGTCAATGTAATGCACCATATAAACAATCTGAAAGAAAAAAAAAAACACATGATCATCTCACTAGATGGATAGACAGGATTAACATAGTAAAAATGGCAATCTTACCAAAAGCAATCTACAGATTCAATGCAATCCCCATCAAAATACCAACACAATTATTCACAGACCTGAAAAGAACAATACTCAACTTCATATGGAAAAACAAAAGACCCAGGATAGCCAAAAGAATCCTGTACAACAAAACAACCTCTGGAGGCATCACGATCCCTGACTTCAAGCTCTACTATAGAGCTACAGTAATAAAAACAGCTTGATACTTGTATAAAAACCGACATGTGGATCAATGTACCGGGACTGAAGACCCTGACATTAATCCGCACATCTATGAACATATGGTTTTCGACAAAGAAGCCAAAACTCTACAATGGAAAAAAGAATGCATGTTCCAAATTTTTCATGGATTACTTTT